GGATTTAAAATAGATGGCATAATTCTATGATGTAATCCAAACAATTATGTTCCACCTGAGTGACACATAATGAAGGGAAATAATTAGGAGGGCAACCTGGATGGTAAAAATTTGGACATTTAATGGATGAACAACAGGAGTTTAATTTATGGAACAGATGTGTGTGTGAGTGTGTGCACGCGTGTGTGTGGTCCAGACATAAATATTGACAATATGTTGATCTCTTTTTGAGAAACAGGGTAGCATGATCTGATTGACATTTAACAGGATCACTCTTCATTAGAGTTGATTGAGGTAGGATGGAAACAAGGAAATAAGATAGGTGGTAATGATCCAGATAAGAGATGAAGGTACCTAAATCCGGATGATTCAAAATAGTAAGATGAAATTCATAGGCATACAATTTCATACAAAATCACTAATCTCTTTGTATAGAAGTATGTACTGGGTTGTCAGAAAAGTCATGACACATTTTTGCAACGAAAAACAGAAAAAATACGTCATGACTTTTCCGACAACCCAATAGAAATAGATGAAGAAATAAGTAGCATATAATTTAATATTCAACATCCAGGAGGCATTCTAAAAGCAGGCCATCAAAACACAAGGCAATATATCTTGGGTGGCAGAAATGCTATATCTTTCTGACTTCATCATATTGTACCTTTAAAGGTGATGCCAGCAAGATTTGGTAGTATTATCTGTATGATATAAAACACCATACACCAAGGCATTTGGCCTGAGTTATATATTATTCATAATAAAATTCCAGATTTTAAAGGAACCTTAGGGATCTTCTAGTCAAGCTGTTGACTCTTTAAAGGAACCTTTCTATAACAAATTGCTTCTGCTGAATTCTTCTTGACCAGGGGCTCATTATCTCACATATCATCCCATGTTAGAATAGCTCTGGTTTTAAGAGCTCTCTTTCTTTTTCTTTGTTTTTAATACTATTATTATATTATTATATTATTACCTTTTAATTGACATACAATATTAGTTTCAAGTGTACAATAAAATGATTCAACATTTATATTAATTGCAAAATGTCACTATGATAAGTCTAGTTACCATCTTCACCATACGGAGTTAATACAATATTATTATTATTATTATTATTATTTTAACTGGGAAACAGCCATGGTCATTGGTTACACATTGCTTTCATGCTACAATGGCATAGTTGACTCTTTTTTTTAAGGAGGGCGTAGCTTGGGAGGGCACAGCTTGCAGTGGCCCATGTGGGGATCGAACAAGCAACCTTGGTGTTATCAGCAAGACGCTCTAACCAACTGAGCTAACCGGTCACCCCCAATACAATATTACTGACTATAGTCCTCATGCTGTATATTACATCTGTATGACTTATTTATTTTATAACTAAAGGTCGTTTTCTTATAGTGTGCCAAAACCTGTTGTGTTGTGATGGACAAGTGTAATATTGTGATTTGGAATAAGAAATATACATTTGGTCTTTGTCTCCATTTCTGGAAGAGCTCCTAAAACCCTAGGAATTCTTTAAGCGATGAAAGCTATAAAGGTGCCTTGATATTCATAACAAACCCCTTTCAATCACACCTGTGTTTGTTAATGAAGTGACTTTTGGAAAACACCTAAGGATGGGGGCTGGTCACCAGAGGAACCAACCAGGTGATTAGAGGGATGGAGCTTTCAGTCCCATTTGGGGAAGGGAGAGGGTCTGGAGTTAAGTTTTGTCACCACTGGTTAATGATTCAATCAATTATGCCAATGTAGTGAAGCCTACATGAAAACCCAAAAGGAGTGTTTGGGGAGCTTCCAGGCTGGTGAACCAGAACACATCCAGGAGCTGCAAATTCCAAGGGGAACAGAAGCTCCTGCATTCGGGGCTTTAGCCTGTGTATCTCTTTTGCTGGTTTTTTAAATTCTTATCCTTTAAGACCTTTTGTAATAAACCAGTAATCTAGTGAGTAAACAGGGTTCCTGAATTCTGTGAGCTTATTTAACAAATTAATAGAAGTAAGGAAGGTGTCATGGGAATGTCTGATTATAGCTGGTTGGTCATAAGCACAGGTAACCAACCACCTGGACTTGCCACTGGCATCTGAAGTGGGGGCATTGTTTGGGGACTAATCTTTAACCTGTGGAGTCTGATGCTACCTCCAGGTAGATAGTGTCAGAATTAAGTTGTATTATAGAGAACCCTACTAGTGTCTGAGAATTGCTTGATGAGGGGAAGAAAACACATACCTTGGGATTGGTGTCAGAATTGTAAGAAGTGAATAAGAAACAATGAAAAACCTGGTAGGAAGGTGGGTAAGAGGAAAGGGGAGGAAGGAACTGTATTTGTTTCTTCACTGGTATGTCCCCAGCACATAGCGTGGTATGTGTCATTCGGTGTGCAATAAGTATTTATCGCTGTCTAAGCAATTTGGAAGAAGAGTATTGGGTCATGATCATGTGACTATAGGATAGTAGTTATTTCTTTCTTTCTTTTTTTTTTTTTAAGAGAAGCAGAACAGACAAGTTGCTGTCTTTTTGTTCCTCAGTCAAGCTGTGGAGGACGTTGCTTCACTGGCCCATGTTAGTATCATCATTGTGCTCTTCCTTGGTGAGGCAGATCAGTTGCCAACCTCCGGACAGCTGTTCACGGTGGCTCTTGGCAGCTCACACCAGCTGCCGGCTGCTCACGCTGGCTGCCGACCACACACGGTAGCTCACTGCAGCCCACTGCAGCAGGGGCTGCAGCCTACACCATCGCTGGCGACTCAAAGCAGCCCAGTTCCAGGTCAAGCTGTTGTTCACCATCTTAGCTGTAGAGGGCGCAGCACCACTGGCCCTCATGTGGGATCCAAACTGGGGCCCTGCTGCTCAGAGCTGGTGTCCCAAACCAGCTCTTAACCAACGCGCCACTCGGCCGGCCCGGATACTAGTTATTTCTTAATGAGAGTTAAAAAGAGTAAAATTAAAGTGTTTTTTGTATCCACTATTCTTATATATGTATCTTGTAGATCAGTTGAATTCAGTATGCTATGATGGTGGCTTTAAACAAATGAAACATACCATTGCATTTGTAGCTTATATCTTATGGTGTCCTAAATCTCAGCAATATTTACATGTACATGCCCTTCAAATACAGTGATATACATAAAAAATATGTACCAGCACATTTTGGCTACCAATGAATCACAATGGATTCCAGCCAGTCTGGTACACATCAGATGAATGTCAGCCTGTTTCAAACTATGGGAGAATCAAGCTACAATATTAGAGTGTTGAGTTAAATACTACATATTTCTATTTTGTCTTGATTTTAACAAACAAGCCCTGTCTTTAGCTCCTGCTGTGCACTTTTGGAGGGTCTTCCATATGGTTGCTGCTAAGTATTTTGGCATTTTCCCAACTGTTACAATTGGGTCAGTGGGGGGGATAGTGTGGGAGTAATAAAACAAGGGTGACTGCAGCAGGGAGGAGTATGATTACTACACATAACAGCTTATTGCCTCTCATGCATTCAAGCACAGCTCAATGCCATTCATTACAACAGGCAGCTAGGGCAAACTGCCTTTTTGACACAGAGTTCACTCCAGGAAAGACCAGGCCTTGGGAGCAGCGAGTGTCTTCTCACTTACAGTTTTTCCTATTTCCTTACTTCTTCACCTTCCCATACTATCTAGAATAACTTGAGGAGAAACGCAGTTTTACCTTGCATATTAGTATGTCATTCTGAGGAAGTTTTCATGAGCAAACTCTTAGCTCAATTTTAGCAGGAATAGCATGATTGTCAGTGGCCCTGAGGGCTTTCATAGCTTATGGGGGGTGGAGGTGGGGAAGGGAAGTCTGAATACCAGAAATACTTAAAAATCCTTGCAATATGATTCATAAAGCCAGAGGTGACTGACAATATTGGCACTATTATTGGAATATCTTCCCTACCAGACAGCACATCAGTGAAAAGAAAAAAAAAAAAAGCCTATTATCTTTATCCTGTGGAAGGCAGTGTTGTTTAAAGCACTAAAAAATTAGGAAGAAAAAGTTCAAAGCAAAATTAAGATTTTAAATAGTGAAATAATATATTAAACTGATTTATGTGTACGTACACACACACACACACACACACACACACACACACACACACACACTGAAGTAACAATGAACTTAAAATCTTGATCCAAAGATTGTATTTTGTATATTTATGTAATACACACAGGATTCTTTATTCATTATGCTTTTCCTTCAACATGCTATCATGGTGTTTTTTTCATAGTAAACACCAATATACAATTATATAGCATTCTAATAGGTTCACAGTACAGCTATGAATTTTTCTTCAGCGATTACAAGTGATTGAGATTTTAAAGAAAGAGTTGGAGACATTTTAACCTGTATACAATTTTTTTTTCATGTTTCATGTTTCCAGCCAAGAACATTAAATAAAGTGTGGCGATACAAAAGTTGCTCCTCATTTCCTTCCTGACCAGGCCTAGAAACCCGACCTCCAGAGACCGACACCGCGTGTTTGGAGCCCCCCGCCCAGGGGGGCAGGTTAAGGCTCCGGTCCCCCAAGGGGCTGGCTGCGCGGCGGGGTGCCGGGGAGACAGCTGAGCGCGTCAGGGCTGAAAAAGAACGTAAACTCCGGTGACGAACGCCACGGGCACACGGACCTCAGCATGACAAGCAACCCCTGCACTTATAAAAGTAATGATACTGACAGCACCGAGATGATCGTAAATCAACTGGTTCCGGGACCACTCACACTTGTCCTCGGACTGTGGGGACCCCTACTTCCAGCTTCCCTTGGGGCAAAGAGGAAAGAGCTAATCAAAGCTCATCTGTCAGCACTCAGTACGGCACCCGCACAGAAGCCCCCCGACACCGCCCGCAGCCTCCCACGATCGGCTACGACTTCAAGCCCCCGCCGGATCGCCGCGCTTGACCCCAAAAGCCGGAGGGCCCCGCAGCCGCTGAGGTGAGGGCACAGGCGGCGGCTTCAGGCGCCGCAGTGCGCAGGCGCGTGCTCACAGCGCGCAGGCGCCGCCCAGAAGTGACTTCTCCAAAAAGTGTCTGAGTTCACAGTCACCTGAGCTCCGGGCGAGTCGGCTGCGGTGGGCTTTGCGGATACCGCCCTCTGCGGCCCTGCCTGGAGACCCCGCCCTCCTCTCCTGTCCGTCGGCCTCGCCACTGCGACCCCTTCCAAGAGCCTGTCCTTTCCCTCCTGTCCTTTCCCAGTCGCGGGCCGGACCGGGCCGAGCCGGGCCACCCGGGCGCGGCCCCTGACCATGGCGTCCCTCTTCAAGAAGAAAACCGTGGACGGTAAGTTCCAGGCCGGCCGGGCCGAAGGGGCCCAGTTCTGTGTTTCCCTGGCGTGTTTTGGGAGCTTCTGCCGCGATTCTTGATGCTGTCCCTGGGGGCGGGGCTGGATCAAGTAGCCCCACAGGTGACCGCCCTCTGCGTCACTTCTCTGCTTCCCCGTCTCTTCTGACTGCCCCACCTCAGCCTCACCTGGGCAGTCTGGTCTCCACCCTCTAGTAACACAACCCCCCGCCCCCGCCCCGTTTTTTTTCTTTAGCGAGATCCTGAGTATATTTCGAGGAGGCAGGATGCTGATGGCCCTAGAGTGTCATTAGCCTTGGTGATTTAATGAATTTCTTGTTAGTTTCGTCTGCTCGGTTTGTTGCTCCTTCAGTTTGGATCTGAGCTACTTCCAGGCATGCAAACCGGAAACCTGTGCCTGCGGAGTGGGGGTGGGGAGCCACAGGCTCCAGGTATCTGTATGAACTTGGGTCTGGGTCGGTCTTGTCCTAAGGTCACTGTCAGTAGAGATGTGAAAATTCTTCTTGACTGACTCCAGTAGAAAAATAAAAGAAACCCAACAGAAGTGCCTGGATTTAGTTTCATAATGGATTTTTCTCTTATGATTTATCTTTTACTATCTAAAGTAAGAGAAGTTTACATTTTAAAATACTTGTATTGTTTCAGACAGCTCAATGTCATCTGAGGAGGAAAAAAAGTGAATGTACACAAATTGGTGTTTATAAGCTTTGCCTGTAATGTATGTTTCTATGACACTGATTAGTCTTGGTAGTATTGATATTTTCATTGACTGCTACCAGGAATCAAATTCATTCAAGTGATTTAAAAATCGTGTTCCCCATTACATGTTGAGTTTAGGTTGCTGATGGTTCGAAGAATCACTTCTTTGTAGGGATCCAATTCTGCCACAAAAGGAGCAGTGGTAGCTAGACAGTGATTGGTACAAACAGGGTGCTCAGTCTAGACCTGGGCTAACTCCTTCATTCCTTTGTATTGACTACTTCCAATGCCAGTAAAATTATTTTGGCAAGGATAACAAAGACATTATTTTTATTCTGCCACTCTACCCTTCACTTCAAAACATAATGTCATTTTACCCCAATAATGTATTTTTGCTTACCCCGAGTGAGTGAAAATATATTTTTAAATTTATTCACTTTTTATTGAGACTTTTTATTAACCATTTACAGTACCAGGATGACCACCAAGTTGTTATAGGATGTAATACAATTATGTGAAATAGGTTTTATGTGTGTTATTCCTGAGAATGCTGTTTAATCTTTAACATGGCACTTTTTTTTTTTTTTTTAGTGTTCCAGTACCAGTATTGTTATTTTCAGTTATTGTAGAGTACTACAGGGGGAAAACAGGTTTCATTTCTTTGTTTCAGTTCTATGTAGTGAGAATTTACTAAAGAGAGGAAAAGGGTTGCGTTTTTCTTACTGTGATGTTAAAATTAAATTTAAATTTTTTAACATTAAAAGCCAGACATCCTAGCTATAATTGCTTAATATCTGTCAAATATTTTTAAAGACGCAAATATCAGCTCTGTATTCTCATTGCTGTGCTTTCTGATACTTTTGGCAATCTAGTGACTATTGTGCTAGAAGTATAGAGATGAATAAAAAAAGACAGGATGTGCAATGAGAGTATTTAACTGTATACTCATTTGCAGTTAGGTTAATTCATCCAAGAAATATTTTTGCTAAATAGACTTATTTTTGAAAAACAAGTCTTAAAGACTTTTGCTAGGAACTATGCTACTGATTTAAAGATCTGTATGTGAAATATCTGAATGTAAATTTGGCCACCATGTGCATTTACTATAACTATCATACTGTATACTTGATGTTTTCTTAAATTATTATGTCAATTCAAATCAGTTGATGACATCTTAATTCTAGAACTGTAATTTTATTATTTTGATATAGAGCTTTACTGATGTTTTTATTCCTGTTTTATTAAAAAGAAGTTTTGGTTGTTTAAAGGTGACAGCGTTCTTCCTAGCAATAATGAGGCTATATATTATGAAATTTAATGTACTTTCATGCATTTCTCCTAGGTCTTTGGACTCGGTGATTATTGATCATAAGATCTTTTACTGTATGCTATCTTTTTATCTTTCAGCTGTAATGAAATTCTGATATATAAGGGAAATACGTAACTGTTTATAGATCTGGAGAATAATTGAATCTTTTTGTTTCTTTGGATTGGCTGGAAGAGTTGCATACTATATCATTAAAGACTAGTGCACATGCAAATTAAAAAAGGGAGACAACATTACAGCACTTATTACTATTCAGAGTTATGTTTAATTCATTTTTGACACAGAGATGAACAAGTCTCTGCAGTGTATACTTTGTTACAGAAATTAATGAGAATTGTACCTCAATGCCATAGAAGAGGAAGATTGTTTTGAATTTGAAATTACAATCGAGTCCTTGGTTTTCCATCTACTGATTTATAACATATATACATATATATATTAGGGTAAAGTATTTACAGTTTTTTTTTCCCCTAAGTAGATGAATGGTGACCTATTTATTGGAGCTAATTAGAAACCTGTAAATCAGGATGCCATGAGGACTTGTCATAAATGCACAACTAATTATGCCTCTTAAAAAGTGAAGTTCTTTATGCACTATATATAATTTTTGTCTGTTACCCTAAGAAAAGAAACATTTGAGGTCCTACTCTAAGCCAGCACCAAGTTAGCATTTTTGTATGCAGTATCTCATTATAATTCTTACAAAACCTGTAAGATAATACTGTTATTATCCCCACTTTATAGATGAGGTAATTGAGAGGCCAAGGACTAAGTATCTTGCCCAAGATCACACAGCTACTAAGTGGCAGAACCAGGGCCTCATCCCTTTTGAGTATAATCATTGTTATTTATTCTTACTAGATATCCAATGGCTCAGTTTAATTTTGCTATTTTTTCTAAGTACTTGGAATTCTCAACTTTCGGTAGGTACCATGTACTGTGACCTTTTGTCTGTGAACCAGACCCTTTTCTCTCAGAATTGGTGGTAGAACTTTACTATCTAATGGTGGTAAAACTGGAAATAACCCTCCTTTTCCTGACTCTTTCTTGACCGATTGTGTCTTAGGAAGTGTTGTTCAGTCTCTTTTTGCTCTTCATCTAAACCTCATGTAGGAGTAGTGGAATCCCCTATCCCCTATCTTTATTTCTCAGATGCCTCCATTCTGCACCAGTTTGCTTTACAGCTCATGTAATGAGAGTTTGCTAAGATCATCAGTGACTTCTGGATCACCAAATCCAGTGGCCATTTTGAGTTGATCATCTCCTTGGCGTATGTTTTGCATTTGATCCTGATAATTTCTTCCTTGAAATTCTCTTGGCTTCCATGACATAATGCTCTCTTAATTTTCCTCATATTCCTCTGACCACTCTTTTTTCTTTCTCCTTTCAGGTTTTTCTTTTCTTCTTTCCTTCCTCCCTTCCTTCCTTCCTTCCTTTCATTTTTGACCTGCTTTTTAAATGTTAGTGTTCTTCTTGGTTCCATCTTGGGCTACCGTTATGCTAACCAAACATTGTCTAACTTGAGCATAATCTTATCTAAACTCCTATTATTCTAATTATAACCTAAATGTTGATGGATTCCAAACTTGGTTCTCTAAACATATTTTCCCAAGTTTCAGATCAATACATCCAATAATTTGCTGAATGTCTCCATCTACATGTCCTAAGACATGTGAAATTAAAGAGATCACAAACAGAACTCATCACCACCTCCTTTCGGTTGGTTCTTTTCCTGGATTCTCCTCCTCCACCATTTGGGAGTTATTGAGACTTAGTTTTTTATTAATTACCAAGTCCTGCTCTTTTTGTTTCTTAAATATTTGACACATATGATTTTCCTCTGTGTGCCTTCAAATCCTTGCTCTAATTCAGATCCCACTTATCTTGCACTTTACTGGATCACCTTTCTGCTTTTCTTTGCTATAGCTTCGTCGACTTTAAATCATTCATCTACAAAGTTTCTTGTGTGATTGGTATACCTGAAACCCAAATCTTCCTATGCTACTCCTCAGTATAATCCCTTTTATTGAATCGCTGGTACCAACAGGATGAAGTGGGCACGTTTTAGTAAAGCATATATGGGACTCCTTGGTTCTTGCCCTTGTCTTTCTTTCCGGCCATGTGTGGACATTTCACTGTCCTCATATTTATCTGTATGTATACCATGCTTTTTCTCTGACATATTTTTGCTTATGACGCCCTTAAGCAAAAAATTATCTTTTTGTCTTCCTCTAGCTAACCTGAACTATCTCAGGTTTTTTCTTTCTCTAGGAATTCTTCTCTGATGCCACCTCAAATTATGTTAAATCCCTCACTCCTCCTGTGTTATGTGTGTGTGTGTGTGTGTGTGTGTGTGTGTATGTGTGTGTGTATTTTAAAGCATCCTCTTCCTGACTTGCATTCAGCGGAATTGAAGTAGACCCTGTATTCTTCCAAAGTTGGATTATGCTTATTCTAAGTTTTTCCTACATTCCATATTTGCTAGGTTGCAGAGAGTTTTCAGCATAAATGAAAATATCGCTGCAGCAGTTTATTATTTAGAAACTAAATTCCAAAAAAATAGAATTTACTAACCCAAAGTAGTGTTTCCAGTAGCCAAAGCTTGCCATAGCCTATATCCATATTATCGCCAGCTACCTTGAACTTGAGTGCAAGTTTAGAGATAATTTGAGGCACGCTACTAACAAACAGGAGCAGAGCTTTTTGTTTTTTGCCTCATTAGTGTGGTATGCATATATGCTACTTGTCCAGAGCTTTGACTAAATTGGAATAAATCCCCCATTAAGAGGTCGGTTGTGATGCTACATTTCCAACAGCTCCAGAAGGAATAAAATCTACCATGTATATAAACTGAATTCCCTCCAGAAATATTTCTGCTTCCATATAAAATACAACATTTTTATGGTGCTACCTACAGGACGCAGACCTTTTCTAGGATGCTGTGTGCTCTCTT